GTTTTATGCCAACTACCCATAAAATAAGCATGAAGTATTAAAATAAAAGTTTTCGAAATAGAAAAATAAAATAAAATAGAAGTAATAAAATTTGAAAATAGAGGGAAAAAAGCATTCTCCTTCCCAGCTCAATCCATATTACGCGTCAAATCTCGATCTAATTCTTATTGTTTTTTTACTAATTTCACTTGTCGAAAACCCAACTCACGATAACTTAAGCACTTGATAATACAGCTTAAAGCAACATCGATAAACTAATCCTTGTTGTCAATAAATTTGAGTATGAACTATGTCTTGATTTTTTTTTTAAATCGAGATTTCATTATTTTCTTAAAATAAAAACTATTTTTGCATTGAAACCAATGACAAAACTACAACTTTTGATGGATGTTGACATGGCATCATGGGTACACGTTGTTGGCCTAACTGGATTGGTCTTATTTCATAATCTACTAGGAAGGTGACATGTGAGCCCACCATGATCTTTTACAAGATTGGGATTGTAGAGAAAATAATTCCAAATGTATGAAAATTGGTTGGAAATAATCCTCGCCACGTTTTTAGGGTTTGTGTCAATTTCCGTGCGCCAACTTTGTTGATTTTTATTAATTGTTCATCCTTGTGGTTATCTATCTATCCTTTACTTCTTTTGTGGGGATTATGATTTGAGTGATGTTCTTTTCAAGGAGGTTGCTTCCTTTTGGGAACCATGTTTCAACTTGTTAGTAACGATTTATTTATTACGTGCAAGAGATGATATTTATTAGGATGATTGATGGAAGTGATCGATGGATATATATGACTAAATAAATTTTACGTGATTAAGAAAGAGAGTTGTGTAAAATATTTGTTTATTTTCAGTTCAGTATGTTGTACTAGGTTTAAATTTTACAGCCTTTTATATGTAATTGAAATGAATTTTCAAGAGTTCTTGATTTTATTGATCAAACTAATCAATCGATCCTATTTTATGACTTTGATATTTTATAACATATTTGTAAGAGAGAGGTTATAAAATTCACGACGAAAATATTGTAACTAGTTAAGAAATATGATATATGCATGTATATCGATTACATGTTATAAAACTCATTTTCCTACGTTTGAACGTGATAAACAAGAATAATTCTTAAGATGAGATAAATTATAGTTTATGTCAAATCGTGATATATGGTTTTCGAAAAAAAAAAATATGAATTCACTCAATTTAGTCAATTCTTGACATATGAATTGATCAAAGAATTTAGACGAAATGGTTGAATTGTAGTGGGCAACTTTTAAAGCTTATCCAATGAACCAAAGTCATGTCCTTGAAATCTTTATCCATGTATTGCTTGGACCCTTTATTCTTAGTGCTTTTAAGGATTAAATTTGTGGCAATGTCAAATTTGGTTAAACACTCTAGAAGGGTAGAGATTGAGATTAGGAAAAAAGAAAAAAGAAAAAAGAAAAAAAAAAAAAACTGACTTAGACTGTGCTCAATACATTAGATTGAATAAGAAAATTGATAATTTTGTTCTCTTCTTTAATTTCATTTAATCCTATTTGGTCTAGCATGAAACCCACTAGTTGAGTTATGTAAATTATAATCGGCATACAAGGGTTTGATCTATCCCTTTTAATAATGTTGATATTTTAAAATGCCATGTCAAAATACAATTTGGTTTTAGAGCTCAAAATGCTTCAATGAGCTATTTGAAATATAAACGAACAATCAAATTTCGAGATTAGTGTTATGATTTTTAACTAATATAGGATTAAGCTATTCCTTTAGTCCTTGTTTGGTTTACATAAAATTGAGATTTTTTATTTTTATTTATTTATTATTTTTTTGTAGACGTTGATGAAATTTGTAGTTGAAATTATGTGGGTCTCACTAAATATGAAATTAGACTTAATTTTTCACTTAGATTTTAATTATTATTATTATTATTATTATTTTGTTAGCTGAACTAAATAAGGATTTAATAAGGCTGACATTTAGTGTGAAACATTGAAACTTAACAAAAGACTTGTAGTCAAGCATTCACCACCATTGGTTTATGAAAGTTTCACACGTGTCAAATTTTTTATTAAAACAAGATTAGGAATGACAAAAAAAATCCGTCAAACTCGATACCCGTGAACCTTGCCGCTCTTAATTGGGTATTCGGGTTGGGGATGGGGGCAAGTACGGGTAACAAGGGCCCCATCCCATCCTGTCCCGTCTTGCCTATAAAATGAATTACCAAAATCTTAAAAAAAAATAAAAATTAAATGGGTATTAAACTGGGCAAGGGCCTCGGCTCGCCTTAAATGGATAACAATGTGGGTACAGGGTGAGAACTTACCCGATGGGGTGGGGGTGGAGGCGGTTGCCCTGTCCGAACCTGTCTCGTTGCCATCGTTAAACAAAATTTCATTTAATATAGCGTACTCATTTAATTTTTAAAACAAGATAACTAACAAGTCTATTCATGTACCTATTCCTATATTTCAAAACTGGGGAAAGACAAGCTACAATAATTCAAACCCTTATCATCTTGAGATAGAAAGGCTACATGATAAAGTTTATCCCACTTGAAAAGGTAAAGAATATGGTATTTAATCTTTATGATAGAGTTGCAGCCTTGATGTAACCTTTTTGTTGAGAGTCCATCAACTTCAAGAGCTAGGTTATTTTTTTTTTATTTTTTATTTTTTTTTAGCTCCCAGGGCATATCTCCCAATAGCAAAGGGAAGGGCGGATAGGGTTCAGCGCGGCAGTGTGCAGAGTTCGATTCCCCGCAAGGTGGAATTGACTTTGTTGCAAGTGGGAGTTACCATATGGGTTAACAGCCTTGGCCTATCCATATGCTCTCCACCCTGGCTCCTGGGAGGCACATCCTGTGATTTACCTCCTCCACGATGGCCCAGGGCAGGGTCAGTGGGGGCCCTTAAGGTTGGGGTTCAACCTTTTTTTATTTATTTATTTTTATTTATTTTTTTTTTTAGTTCAACGACCAAAAAAATCAACTGTGTGCTAATCTTGGTAACATGATGATTATGCCTTTTGAAGTTTCTTAATTGACAATTGTTATTTTGGACAACGCTTAGTTGCAAAGACATTATTGAGATCATTTATGGTACGAACTACTAGGTATTACTTTTCATACATTTGCTGAATTTACTTCATTAAATACGTGTTTGTTATTTTCACTTAAAGCCCTAGTTCATACTTGTAATTGTTGATGTGATATTTTAACTCGACAAATGCCATAAAATATCGCACGAGATCATTGTTATTTTGCTCATTGTGTTGTCGTACACACAATCTTACAACGAACTAAGATTAGTCCATTTAACTAAAATTGCTCATGTTTGGCTGCCTTAAAGTAAGCTGAAATAACTTTCGAATTACCTGTTTTTGTCAAAAACAATTTTTAAAATTACTTTTTTTCAAAATGAGCAACTTTTGTTAGCACAGTCGTGGACAAACAAGAAAGCACTAAGAATACAACAATGAAACCTATCGCTGTAGTCCATGGATCTGGCCCACTTTCACACATCGCAAAATCAAGAAAGTAATAGCATATTTTCAATGATGTATTTGCCCAATAAATGTGAAAATGGCACGCAAGTACTTCTTTCATTAAAATTAAGGTGAACGACTCATGTGCAACTTGTTATTTTAATCTCTATGGTCATTTCATCATCAATATATTAATTGATATTAGAGATATATTATGAGTAATGCTATTTAGTCCCATTGGATTGCAACTCCAGTTTAGGTGACGCTAACGTAGCATTAATTGACAAGTAGAATTAAATAACTTATTTAATTTCAATTTTTATTTAACTTATCATTTATTGCCACCTAAATTGAGGTTGTAATCACGGTCAGAGGCAGAGCCAACTTTTTTGTTTGGTGCTGGCACAATTTTATCGAAATCGAACGTTGAATTTTTTGTCATGAATTTAATGATGATAAGATATAAAACAATATTACGAAGGAAAAAAAAAAAAAAACCCTTCGCAATCAAGGTCAGTGGGATTGGGGAATGGATTATGGGTTGTAATTAGATGTGGGTGTATGTGTTGATTGGGCTAATGGGCTATTGGCTGGGCTGGGAATTAAAAAAGAAAAAAAAAAGTTCCGTGCTGACATATCATAGCATTACTCAGATATTATTCAACATCAAGCAAACCTTTAAATCAATATTTTTAACGAATATTAGTTTGCTGCTCTTGAAGAGCTGAATTTCTTATTTATTAATATTTATAAAAATAATATATTATTGCTCTCGAAAAAACATAAATTTATACAAATTTAATGAGGCAATATCTTGATACTCCAAATTCTTTTACAATTAGTTTACTCTATTTACTTAATTTGATAGTTATTTCCCAATAGTTTTTTTTTCTCGTGCAAGGATTTCAACAAGACAACTGTTATGTAGATAGTTATTCAAGGGCTGGTGTAAATTAATAATTATTTTTGAATGAACATCATACCCTGCAACCCTAATTTTAATCTATAAATTTGGAACTTTAATCCTCAATAAATTACATACAAGAGTTTCATTTCTCTCTTTCTGTATCTTATTCTCTAGGTTATACCAATAGGTAAATATTTGAGAAAACTAAAAGCAAAAAGAAACGGAATTACAAGGGAAGACTACAATGATAAATCACTTGAGAGTAAACAAACAAATTGATCTTATCTTAGAATGGGAAATGGACTGATCAGAATTTTTCAAAATATATTAAAATCCAATCAATCAAAATTTAACAAAAATGAGAACAAATAGCATGCTCAGTATGTTGGACTAGACTTGATTAAAAGAAGAGGGGTTTGGAACGTATTTATCTATTGTCTTGTCGAGATCTACTTGACACAACAAATGCATAGTAGCAGGTAGTGATACCCAAGTTCACATAGTATCTAATACTAGCTAAAATCTTGTTCTTATATTGTCTAATTTTATCTAAACTGCATACCAAACATGTACTAATTATTATGCTCGTAATGCTTCCTGGCATATTCATTCAAGGGCATTATATTATCATAAAATATCGTCATTAAAGATGTTAACAGTCAGATTACATCGATTTTGCACTATAACACAAGTTCGTTGAAGAAAGCAAAATGAAAAACCAAATCAGTGCAGTAATTCGAGATGAATGAAGCTAATCTTAAACATCTTACGATTCCAATATCAATGAATCATTCAGTAAAATTCCACAGTTGCCTAAGCTCTGCACTAAAGCCTATCTCACGAAAAAACCAATAAAAGCAGTCCAGTATCCAGCCAGCTGTCACAATTAAAAAATAAAAAGCAAAGACGGTAACTTGTTAAACTTCACCAAAACTGCATAATAACTTTCAGTTTATAACCTTTGTAGTAAATTTACCTGAGCCAAAATGGTGTTTCCAGTGTGGCCTTCAATGACTAATCCTGCTGTAAGGCCAATCATAGCCCATGCACCATTAATTGCTTCAATTTGACGTCGTTTCTGTAGCAGCAATAAGTAAGCCAGAGATCATGGAATGTAAAATTTATCCTATGCATATTCTCAATATTGTCTCAGGTCCTCCCTCATGAAGAAATAATAGGACAGTGTAACATTTGCACGTAATCGCTCCACAGCTTTAATATGAATACCTAAAGAGTGAATTTAGAAGGGGCCAGTATAATTATCAGGGTGAGAGTCCCACTAACAATTACAGGCATGTTTGGTATTCAATATAAAAGAGGGACACGGCATTATAATCAACGAAATTTCTGATTCTTTATCTTTTTCATTATAGTCTGGTACTATCTAATCCATATCATCAAATGCATGCTCTCTCTGTCATGGACCCAAAAAAGTTCATAAATTTACAGTGAAAACTGAAAAGATGCACCACCTGTTTCCCTTCATAGTGATGATAACCCAGTATCTAACCATATTAACTTGGTTCAAACTCCAAAAATTACATGTTGGCAGAGCCAGAGGAACAGAGAGGTGGCTGTAGAAGGGGTTGGTAAATTTCTCATTTTAAAACTACCTAAGTCAAGTCCAGTCGAGGTAAATCAATAAGCATAGGGTGTTGACAATTGAATTTCAATGTATCGAGAGAACACCAAAACCAGGAAGGTCTGCCAAAGAATATTACAGCACAATATCACAAGACTGTCGAAAGAGTATGGAACGGACAATGTATTGCTATATAACTGAAAGATCCAAAGGTTATTGTCATTTTTCCATTTTTTGAACTTTCTTTCTAGATTAGCTAAAATTAATCAGATGCTTACATTAAAAAAGCAGTTAGTTTGAGTTGCGTATAATTTAGTGGTTCAATCTCAAATTAGGAATTGAGTGGGGAGAAAGATGCCATCTTTTCACAAATTATGAAATCATAAGAGAAGCAACAATACCAAATTCCAAGAATATCTCTGCAACTTAGGGAAACGTCATGTTTGTTTGAATAGATACAAATAAGTCAGCAATCATGTTCATGATATGATAATGACAAGGCTTTTTAATGGAAGTCAAGTCCTTTAGACCCCGTTTGACCACCATTAAATTAAATTTTATTTTTCTTTCTCCTATTTTCAACCACATAATTTTCCATAGAATAATATTACACGTAAATCGAAACATTTTCCTTCTTTTTCAACAACCCATTCTCCAAAAAAATACTATTCCACCCATTATAATTTGAAATATTTGGGGCCAAAAGGGGGCTTAGATTCATTACGGCATCACTTTTCTTGTCATTTAAAAGTTCCACAAAGTGCAACAACATAATAACGAAAACATAAATCCACCTTACTTTGAATTTATCTTTAGCTTTAATTTTTTCCATTTGTTTTGCAGCTAATCGCTTGGCTTCCAAGGGATCAACCATGATCACTTCTTTGTTTGAATTTCTTCTATCTGGAGATACCTATTTAAAATAAAAGAAGGATGCCTTTGTTAATGGAAGAGAAATGCATACAAAAGATTTTTGCAGAACGAATGCTGAAGGAGTGATGAAGTACCCAATTATAAAAAGTCAACAAACAAAGACTACCCACACATTAACACGTGTTGAGTTTATGCTGATAGCTTAGAAATATAGTAAAATTATCTTTGGCCAACAGTGAAGAAAACATATTTACCATAATTAAATTTCACAACAAACAAATAGTTCGAGGTAGCACTTTCCAGGTTTTCAGCGGAATATTCATATCAGAATGGTTAATTTATAATCTGCACGACCTTATTTAGAAAGAATGAAGTCCAAACTAATTAGGTAAATGCTGCTAAAACTTTAAATAAGCGGTTTCTTCATTTGCAATCAAATTTGTCAATACATGAAGCAAGGCAATAGCTACATCGTAAGAAAAAACTATAGCATATATCTTCTATACAAGATAAAAGTCTATATGATAATATAACAGCAGCCTTTGAATGGGAAACAATTGGACAGTGAAAAAGAAAAAACAATAATAAAATACTTAGATCACCCATTACACAATTATAAAATAAAGTAGAAGAAATAATGAAAGAAGGAAATAAGATTTTATAATTAGAAAATAGTAATTCTTCCGCGGTGGAATACCCAAAAATTGGAGCAAGACAACTTACATAAAACTATTTTAACAGCACTATCTGACAATTTAAAATATTGAAGTGCTGGAAGTAGCAGAAAATCTCCATTCTAAGCTACTGCGGTGATAGCAGACATTTGAACAATGTAATCATTTTACTTCTAGTGCATATTTATGTCTACAAACATTTCCTTAAGCACTAAAATTTAATTAAAACACCATCTGCTTTTGCATAGGAAACAACTTTCAATAGTTTAAAATAGTAGAAAAGTACAGAATCAGAGGTTACAACACAAATAGGAAAGAGGCCAATATGCATTGCGGACGGACCATATGTCTATGAGCTCATGAGCTAGTTTGTGCACGCTGCACAGTGACATTTTGTGATCACGAGACTTACCTTGCCACCAATCCGATCAATGAAAATTAGAAGAGAATAGTCGATAATGTTTTCCCAGGTCCAAAAATCTTTTTCTGTTTCTATTCAAGATTGTGGATGGGTATTTTTGGCAAAGAGAGAATTGTGCGTTCACATCATGAAAATAATTTCTTATTTTACATAGAGATAACATCACTAGTCTAGAACTAAATGGAGCGTGTTTTTAAGTAATCGATTCTAACTGTGACTACGTACACGATAGTCAAATATCACTAATCACATACCTAAAACATCTTTGAGCACATTCAAACCAATATAATGTTATTCATGTGGAAGCCTTGAGTGATGCATACATTTGGATTTGCTAAGACTCGAATTTCCTGACTTTTTGTTCTTTGAGATATCAATCTCACATCTTGGTTTCTTTTTGATCCCCATCTGAAAAAAAATAAAAAATGAAGAGCAGAGTTAGAGAGAAGTTGGAATATTAATTGAATAAAGCAATTTACACACTTATAATATTCTGTACTTATACTTTGCATTACATGAGCTTACAGAACAATATAGATAGAAACAAACTCTTACAAATGAATCGATGGAATCTTGACTAAAAGAGTAAGAAAAAGCATGTAAAATCCTAAAAAGCATGATTATGGTCTAAAATTCCAGAAATGGATATTGATATGATTCCTTAAGTTTTATAAATACAAAAACAAGTTTATTCAAATCGAGAAATCAAGATGCCACCATTCCTCTCAGACCTGATCGCCCATTTGAGATTTCAGCAAAACTCTGTCACTCTTAACAACAAGACATGTTCTGCACCATGTTAAAAATTCAAGAGAGACATTCTTGTAAAAGCGAGTTCTTTGCACCCAAGAACTTTGAGAAATTCCCTTCTTATACAGTGCAATAAATTCACTCCAAAATGCTAGATCACAATGTTTTATTTTGACAGCCCTTACTCTTCATTTTAAATATTAGAAATTTCAGTTCTTCAACTAACAAACACGCATAGGAAAGTATATTAATCTCCTAGGACCTATCATACACCTACACAGACATGTGAGAGGTCGGATACGTCAACGAAATTTTTCAAAAAAGTATCGACACGATATGTCGCAGCTCCTTGATTAAATTCTATAAATTCTTCATATACATAATATAAATTTAGTTTTATACTTATTATTAACTTTTCTTATTGATAGCTTATAATTATGATTAACTATTTGTTATTTAATATTTACTTTGAATTAAAATTTTATAATATTTCTGATAGAGAAATAAAAATATCATGATAAGTGTTCGAGAAGTGTCGATGTTCGACAGGTGTGCGATACCACGAATTGAGCGAAGAAACCCTTTACTTGATACTCATAGTCCTTCAAGAGGAAGCTAAATGCAAGTTTAGTGAAGAGTTAAGCCTTTATTCTCAACTCTTAAAGAGAATCCACAATTTCATCATTACTTATGCAAGTTAATTCTGAAATCTTGAAATAAATTGTAATTACCCACCCCAATCAAAGAAAAAAAAAGAAAAATTTCTACATATTCAGAATTCAAAAAAGAACCCAAACTCCCAGTAAATACCCTTTCTTTTCTCAATTAGAAAGGAAAATACAAAAATCACAGCTGTGTCCCTAATTGACTGATTATGAAGATTTCATGCCCAGCAGAGCTTACAATTTACCTACAAAACTGCAAAGACGTAAAAAATAAAACAAAATCAAGAAACAGAAGAAATCCAACAACTGAGTAATTCGAAAACTTACATAAAAACAGAAGAAGAATGAAAATTCGAAGAAGATAATTGCCGCGTGGAAAGCAAGAGGCCTTTATTAAAAATAAGCAATGCTGAAGAAGACGCCATTGTCATTATCTCTACAGAATTCTCCTAACCAAGTGTTGATTAATGGAAGCCTTAACTATTGGGATCTGCGGGGTACCTTTCTATCCACTTAAACTGTAGCGGATTTTTGTGTCTGCGAGGGATTCCACGCTACTATTGGAAGGTATAGTTGACCAGCTCTCGTTTGAAATAGATTTTATCAAAAATACCTTCTTCTTTTTTTTTCATCTTCAACTGTACATTCTTAAAAAAAAAATAATAATAATTACTTTTTACGTTTTTTTTTTTTTTTTTTTTTTTAAATTTTAATTTTTAAAAAAAAAAAAAAAAAAACGAAAAAAAAAATTATTTTTTTTTTTTTTTTAAATTTTAATTTTTAAAAAAAAAAAAAAAAAAACGAAAAAAAAAATTATTTTTTTTTTTTTTTTAAATTTTAATTTTTAAAAAAAAAAAAAAAAAAACGAAAAAAAAAATTATTTTTTTTTTTTTTTTAAATTTTAATTTTTAAAAAAAAAAAAAAAAAAACGAAAAAAAAAATTATTTTTTTTTTTTTTTTAAATTTTAATTTTTAAAAAAAAAAAAAAAAAAAGAAAAAAAAAATTTTTTTTTCTTTTTTTTTTTTTTTTTTTTTTTTTAACTACAAGTTCAAAAAAATCCATTAAAGTTCCAATTGCCTTATCCAGGATTTCTTAAAGTTGGTATTTAATTAATTTACCAGCTTAATTGAGATAAGTGAGTCAGCTTCTGTCCAAACATGACTGTAACCAAGGTGAAAATATAATCTTAAGCCTTTCGCAAATTGCTTTATTTTCTGCTTCTAAGCAAAAACGATTGCCATGGTATTCATAGAATGCAAATAGGACATCTTTACTATTTGTATTGCGTCCTCTTTACTGTTTATTAATGATGAAAAATAAGATTAGGATTAAAGGTTGCGCTTTATGATTTTCGACTAAACGTGAAGTTATTTCTCAGAAGAGTCACACTACATATTTGAAAGATGTGTGGTTTCACAACATGGATACAATGATGTCAAGGAGGATGTAGTTAAATAGATAACTCCTGAAGAGTATTTTGGCTTAGCTCAACATTCTTGGAAAACTATCGAATTGATAGTTTTCTTTCTAATTACTTCCATGGTCATACCTTGTGGTGGTCGACCAACAGATTGAGATGATTACGAGATGAAAAAACATGTTTCACTTGTTTTGATGTTGAGAATATGTCTCATACTTTATCCACGTTGTGAATAATAAGAATATAAAATATAACATTTTCCCCCCTTAACTAATCCATATCGCAAGTCTGTTAGCTATGGTCAAGAATCCCATTTTCTAATTTTATTTTGTAGGTCAACTATTATACTTTGCTAGTTTTCCAATTGCTACCTTATCATAAGATAATGCGTTGTTTTGTGGAGTTAGAATTCTTTATAGAACCCATTCATCTACTATGCGTCACGTTAAAAAGAGCGAATGAGAATTTCAAGAACCTAAACAAAAATAAAGAGCTAAGTGTACCCCCAAGGCTACCCTCTCTCCTCCCCTTTTAACTAACAACGACTTTATTAGTGGAACTAAAAATGAGTTTGAGTTGTTTTAACTTACTTTTAACCACACAAGACTGCTATCTATATGTGTTCCAAAATACCTCAATTTTTTATTCAAGAAAAAGGGTTTGGAATTTGACCTCCCCCGGATCATTGACTCCTTTTTAGTTTAGGATTGCTCAAGTTGTACAACGTCCAATCAATTTGGTTTTTGTTTCTTGTTGAGAAGTTTGTTCGGAACCATGCACATTATTACCTCCTTGTCAAGGCTAAAACATTTACTTGCCTTGTAGTCAGCTATTTCTACCTTTTTTGTCAGTTCTCATCCTCATCTCTTGGGCACAACTAGGACAATGCCTATTCCCAACTGGGGGAAGTCTTTTCTTGATCCAAACTGAATGTGCCAAAAATGACAACTCCAAACGTAAATACACATCACAAACTGATCCCTATTGTTAAAAACCTTGAACCATAAACTAGAACTATGATTCTCAGTCTAGTTTTTCCTATTTAAGAGAGTAATAATAAATGAGAAGGAAATCAGAGAATGAGCTAAGCGCAAACATAGTTATAGCTTGCCGTTGCAGGTTTTCCTACAGAGGAGAATACAATTTTTTTTAATGGTCGAGAGGATAAGTTTATAATATGATTACGTTCCACACACTCATCAATTCTGCAGTTCTTTTAATGTTATCATATTGTTAGACTCTTGTAACATTATGCATATTTATTTAATATTGGATGGACGATAGAATATATCCATTTTTTCCTCCCCCTTTTCAGTTTTCTGCTAAATGGCAGGGCTCCGGTTCATGTATGAAACCAAATCGCTTAGTATCCTTCTAAACCTAGTATTTCTTCTTCTCCTCTTTTGTTTCATATCACAATTCCCCACTTCAAATTCTAGTAATTCAAACAACCAAAGATGGTTGAATCACCCTATTTACAATACAATTGACGACGATATTGGCTGCAACGGGCTTCAAGAATACACTGTCAAGCAAGAAAAATGTTACTATGTTAAATCCCACAAAGAATGCCAACCAAGAGGCTACATTCCCTATCTACAGATCTTCTATTGCAAATTTAGCCAGGCTTCACTTGCCTTTTGGCTTGTAATCCTATTCTATTTACTAGGTGATACAGCAAGCAATTACTTCTGCTCTTCACTCGAGGGCTTATCCGATATTCTTAAACTTTCCCCAACTTTGGCTGGAATCACCCTTCTTTCTCTAGGAAATGGAGCACCAGACGTTCTTTCTAGTATAATTTCCTTTTCGAGCGAAGGCACAAGAGATATAGGCCTAAATAGCATATTGGGTGGTGAATTCTTCGTATCTAGCGTTGTCGTTGGAATTATAAACATTTCTGTCAGCAAACATGGCAGAAAAATCAGTAGGTCTAGTTTCGTTACAAATGTTGTGTTCTTACTCTTTTGCCTTTCTTGTCTACTAGGGATTCTCATTATGGGCAAAATCAATCTGTGGGGTGCTCTTTCTCTCCTTTCTTTGTACTTGATATATGTGTTCGTCGTTTTCATGTGTCCTAAGGAGGAAAATCTAGCAGAAAACTCAGATGAATCTCCATCAGCACTTTTACCTTTAACCACGAACTTTCCCAAAGAAAATCCCAACGGATCATCCCACTCGAACGCGCCTTTATTACTATTCATGGCTAATGAGAGCCATATTTTAACTGATCACAAAGGTAAAACTCTTTCGTACATTCTTGAGTTGCCATTTTACTTGCCAAGAAGATTAACAATTCCACTAGTTTCGCAAGAGAAATGGTCTAAGCCATTTTGCAGTTGTTTCAATAACATTAGATCCTCTTCTATTTTCCCTCTTTTGGGGATTTAACACATCAAAACAACAAATTCTGATTTATGCAATTGTGGGATCGTCAATTGGAATTGCTTTAGGGATTCTTGCATTTTACACTACTGCTAGGCTAAGTCCTCCAAGAAAATGTTTATTCTTATGGCTTGCATTAGGATTCTTGATGAGCATACTTTGGACATATATTTTGGCCCAAGAATTGATTTCCCTATTGGTTTCAATTGGTCTGATACTAGGCATCAATCATTCCATTCTGGGGCTAACGGTCTTGACATGGGGAAATTCTCTTGGTGACTTGGTTTCCAATGTATCACTGGCCAAGAACGGTGGGCCACGTGGAGCCCAATTAGCCATATCTGGTTGCTATGCTGGGCCCATATTCAACACACTTGTGGGCTTGGGCTTATCACTGACTTTCTCAACTTGGGCCGCACATCCAGGTTCTTGTACAATCCACGCAGAGGATTCGGTTTTTGAGACTATTGGGTTTTTGATAATGGGCTTGCTATGGGCTCTTGTGATTCTTCTGAATAAAAAGATGAAGCTTGATAGGTTTGTAGGCAGTGGGCTTCTGGCTATGTATGCTTGCTTTTTATCCTTAAAGATAGCAAGAACTTTGAGCCTACTATGATTTCACACGTCTCCTTCATTTTTCAAAGTACATGGAGGTCTTGAACTTCTGTTCGCACTTTCCAAACAACTTTCCTTTACCAAACCATCTCGACCCCCTCAGGCAATTATGTATTCATTCATCTTCCTCAAATCAAGAAGGATCATAAGTTTTATCAAGGTCTAACTCTTTCGCTGAATTGTCTTATATGGGCATCATCGTTTTGAAAGCCAACTATAGATTTGTTTCCATTATCATAATTCAATTTGGGGAGCATCACGGTCGATCAATGGCAACTGATATTCCACCTATGAATTTTCAAGGCTAAATTCGGGGCACGAATCTATTTCCAATTGTTGGAAGGCGTGGGGAGTTATGTTGGAGGACCTAATAATGCCCATTACATCATGGTCTAGCTGTTAACTTTGAAAAACTTTATTACGAGTACTTGGTATCTAATTGTGTATCTATAGTTGTTGTATTTATAGTTGGTCCAACCTATAAAATAGGACATCAAAAATCAAGATATGGTACATATTTACCTCGATAGCGTCATTTGTGGTACCATCGCAGATATTAGTAATATTCAGATTTTTTTGGTTCATACTATAAGTGACTCAAATTTAGAGGCATCGAACTCTAGATGGCTTAGCACGTAAAAGCATGCCTCCCTACATAACCAGCCTCATAATTCATTGGTCGAGCTCGACTATAAAAGTATGCAGCTCGGTTTACACCTCTATTCAAATCTAGAAACCGTCGGGCCAAAAAAAGTTATATTTTAAGATTAAACTAGCACTTATCGAGAGATGTTAAATTGGGGCGAGTATAAGATGTAGGGTTAGGTCATATATGTAACAGCAGACAGCAGCCCTCAACGGTCACCCGTGATTGTAATAACATTAGCCATTAATGTCTCTCTGTGTCCAATCAATTCTACTGACTCATATCCACATAAAGAAATACCATCAATCATATGCAAATGTTTGGCAATTTTCTGCAATTTTTCTCAAAAACTTTAAGAAATTTTAAATGAATCCCTCGTTACAGTTTTACGTCAAGAAAATGGGGTTCTGAATTTGAATCTCGTCCTTTTTGGTCAATCACTTCGAAGATCTATTGAGATCATCTTACTACGACTTCAAATATGCATTGGAGGTCTTAAACGAGTAATGCTGAGCACCAGTCTAACTATCCATTCAGTGTTCTTAAATAATTGGATATCTCAAATGAAAAGATTTAAGTTATCTTTAAGATGTGTAATCAATTAATTGATTGTTAGATTGGTGCTAAGTACTGTTGGAGTTGAATGACTTTATTCGTCTTAAAAATGGAAGATTGACTTGGCATTTTTTTTTGTCAAATTTCATCATACGCCATATGTAAATTACATTGAAGGGGAAAAAATAATGCAAAGAATAATGAAAATTTTAATGTTTTGAACATGTTAGACAATGCCAGTTGTGCAGACAGGTCACAAATAAATGCCAAAAACAAAATTTATAATGGTTGTGACTAAAAAATTTAAGTGTTCACATGGCATGTAACATGGGAAAATTGAAGTTCGTTGTCTTTAAGTCATTATATCCCAACAACACAAACATGTGTGTGTGTGTGTGTATATATATATATATATATATTGAAGGAAGTAATCGATATCTACCAATGATGATACAAAGTAATGAAACATTTAGGTCATCATTGTTATAGTGATTAATTATGTTATTATACTGAATCATGCTTTCTTATGCGTATCATTATAAACACGTGGTATTGAAATTTGAACTAAGATCTTTTGACTTTGCATATCATACTTAACCATCTTATCTACAAACTCAAGCGACTAAAAAGAGGATTAACTTATTTAAATTATGTCTTCGACATTCAAGACACAAGAAATTCAAAACAACTGAATCCTACAAGGAAACACTAAGACGTGGAAAATAAAGAATGAATCATGATAATTTCGGAAAAGATGATCATCTCATTCACTCAAAATAACAAACATTTTGAATTTGTTTTTGATTTTCTTCATAATGAAGTCTTTGTATCCTTTAATCTACAAAATAAAATGTACCAAGATGGAAAACAAAAAATTAAACATTGGATGGAAAAGATGAGTTAACAACCTTGTTTTGTCTTCCCATTAACCAAAGAAGAGTTCTCCTTGCAAAAGATGGAGAATTTTCTTGAGAATCCAAGATGTTACATCTCTGGTCAATATGGCAACCCAATTCAATTTCTCCCCACCTACTGGTGTCGAGTTCAGATATCATCCTCCTAGCACCATGAACATCGTTTTTGGGCTTCAGCTCGTCAGTAGCCATCATGTTCTGGTTCCCTGGAAACCGGAATGAAAACGCGCGCCTAGATGAGTCGACTGTGGCTGCATTAGGCCTATCCTTTTTTCCCCTTAGCCAAATCTTTGACACTGAAAAGCTTTCCCTCTTGCTTTTCCCAAAGGCCTTTCTGTCATTGCCACTGGTGATACTACTATCATTGCCATCTACTTGAATTTCACCAATCCTAAATTCTTCAAAACCACCAAATTCTCTTCTTGAATCACATCCACATTCAGACAATGCTAGCCTATGACCTGGTGTCAATGGCAAATTAGGTTTCTTGCTCGATTTTTTCTTCATAGGGGTTCTAATGGAAACTTGCAACGATAAATTTTCATCCATTACATAAGCAAAAGACCCCATGGAGGAGCACCTTCTTGCATCAGCACTACTATCACTACTACCTTCACCTTCACCTTCACCTTCACCTCGACCTTCAACATTCTTGAACTTCCCAAGCTTTACCGTGACAAGTTTTCCTCCTGAACCCACAACTAATCTCTGATTGCCGTCATCCTTTGATTGAATTTCACAAGAGTTAGGCAATTGATCTTCATGAGATTGTTTAAATTCATCATCACAATGAACACTCAAATGAGAATTCACTCTTGAAACTGAATTACTGGTGTCTAATCCACCCTCCCTATCCAAAACAATCTCTCTTGAACTTTCACTTCCAGATTCAAGAACAAGGACAACTGGAGAACAATTGCTTTTTCGCGAAAAGTCTGGAATCAAACTTGCTCTACAAAGAGGGCAAGTGGAGTGAGATAACAGCCAAGTATCTATACAATCCATATGGAAGGCATGACTGCACTTGGGTAGAAGCCTAAGCTTATCTTCAGCCTCAAATTCACACAAACAAACAGCACAATCAAATGGATCCTTCACTCCTATTATTTCTTTGTAATTGAATACAGGGAGGGTGTCAATAAAAGACTGATCAACACCAGAATCATGCAAGTGAAAGAGTTGCTGCAACTGGCCTTGTAGGACAGTCACATTTTCTAACTCATTAGGATCCCTATTATGAGGTCTCAATAGGAATCTAACAAGAAGGTGAAGCAAACCAGAAATAAAGAAAATAATGGCAAGGATTATAATAATCAGCAATATACTTGGACTCACCTTGTTGTTCAAATTGAACCCACCTGTATGAACGACACTGAAAGAAGGAGGTGTAGGTGGCTGAATGAGAAAGTAAGGCTGTTGGGATGGAGAAAGAAACCCTTTCTCTTTGATTTCGAGAGCCAAATCCATATTTTCTTGAGAAAAATCAACCACACTGAAGCTTAATACTTATATATCATCTGTTGCAACAGTGTCTCATTTGACTAAAAAGACAATCTTGGCTGGTTTTCTTAGAAGAAATTTATCAAATAATTAGGGTGCCAAAAAAAAAAAAATGTAGTGAGATTTAAGCCGGCCATTTGGTAAAGACTCAAGGGGGCATCCCGTTCATTAAAAAATAAAAAATAAAAAATAAAAAAAAACTGCGCAGTCAAATTTACAGAGGAGAAAGGAGTAAATGTGATGCACAGAGGGTTGAAAATTTGAATTTGCAGCAATAAATTTACAAATCAGCAATATTATTATTGGATCCAATTAGCACAAAAAATGGCACTCATTATTTCTAAATATAATTACTGCATGCTGTGAAGGTGACTATTTATGATTTCATCAAATGCAAGGCCTTTTTGGTTTGACTTCCAAAACCCCATTTCATCAACCCCAAAGCACATTTAAGGAGCCTAATTGAAAAAGTAAATTATTGGTAAGTGAAACTTTTCATCAAATACATTTTTTATTCATACATTTATTAGTGGGATTTGCAATTTTCATCAACTTATTTATCCATACTTTTCATAAATATCACTTAAATTTTAATTTTAATGTAATCATTTACTTTTCTGTTTGGCCCCCATTCTCATTTTTATTCTTTTTCTCTCGCTCATTTTCAACCACATAATTTTTTATAAAATAATATTACACACAAATCAAAAACTTTTCATTCTTTTTCAACCACACATTAGAATTTGGATAGAATGGGGGCCAAACGGGGCGCAATAAATGTGAACTCAAACAGCCATTTCCACTGCATTTTTAGTCATTTTTCAGTTTATTATTTAAAAAAAAAAAAATTCCCCTTCCGATCCCATTCTTATTACAATGCTTCTACCCCATTCTAATTCAAATTCCATTCAACATTGAAGAAAGTCTTTATTTAAAGAATTTTGTTATTTGTACACTGATTTTTGACACTTTAATTAACACTTGCATTGTTGTCAAGTGTCAATTGAAAGAAAAAACTTTTTGAAATTTAAACTGTCCAATAGGATAATATCACGTGATAAAGTGTACATCATTGTGTACATGTAGCAAGGTTCTTATTTAGAGCCGTATAAAACGAATTGATTGAAAATATTGACGTAGTCAATTATAAATTTATTGGTACAAGACATGTTGAATTAAACATAATAATAAAGAAAGATTTAAGTAGCCAATTACAAATTTGTTGAAAACAAGACACATGTTAGGTTAGTGGACGTTGGACAATGCTTGAAAGCCATATTAATCGGAGTGATAAAAAGGATTCACGAAATTGATTACAAATTTCTTGAAAACAAGACATATTAGGTTAGCGAATGTTGGGCAACACTTAAAAGCTGTTTTTGAATATGTTTTTAACAAGAAGTAAATTCAAGATTCAAAAAACGCTTGGCTAGAGGATGTGTGAACGTGTTTAGAAATAATTTTTCGAGCTATTGTTCTCAACATCACAGCAGTTCAGGGAAAAAGTAACTAAAAGTTAGAGAAAACGCTTTTCAAACACAATTAAATATGCTATAAATTAAAAAAGAAAGTGAAAGTTAATAGCAACTTTCAAGCTTTAGTCAAAAGTATGTTTTTGTTAAGCTTAAAAGTAACTTACTTTTACCCACTTTTTAGAAAGTTAATTTTAAATAAGTTTAAAATTGATCAGTGGACAAAAACAATTAGGTCAATGTGAGTGTTTCTTGAGTGGACCCCATCTTCTTGAAGTGAATTTTTTTTTGCATTTCTCATGCATATATTCACGATCTTGCTACGTATATATTAGGGATTATATAATGGGTTACATAAAATCACATGCTACTCTACTATTTGTTAGTTTAAAATTCAGTTAACTTTTCCTCAATATCATATTACGTAATTCGTTATGTATAACTTTGATGTTCGATTAGCAAAATCAATATATTCATGGGTTCTCTGCCTTTGTGCTTGACTTTTTGTGCCACTAAATAGCAGCCAGCAATGGAACCAAAACCCGCATAGAAGAAGGATCTCCCACTTTATGTCTTTGCGATAATAACTTTTTTAAAATTATATCAATACCCAAAAATTTGAAGCTAAAAGTCATAGTATAGTTGACTTTTGTCATAATTATAATTGATCCATGCCTTATATCTAAGCCTCTATAGTGATAATAACCAAAAAATTGATTTCTTTCTTGGGGACTTCATGTGGGGTAATGTTACACCAACCTATATATTGAGGATCGAAAGTCAAGTTTATATTAAACTTTAAATATTTGAATCAAAGATGATGAATATCGCTGAGAGAGTTTTGCCGATTTGTTCGACTCCAACAAATTAACAAATTAATTGTTTATGTGTCTAATTTGTTGAATAGGGACGGAAAAACAAGTAATTGCACAAGTAGTTATCTCCATTGAGATATCTACAATATTAATGCTAAGTACATATGAATTCTTAAAAATAATTGGATCAAGCGCTTGAAGAAAATTTGATTATTCCTCCAAATTGCGCCATAGGTTAAAGGACTCATACACCGTTCTCTTTCATGAATTCATTTCTCTTGGTCAACTGACAACAATGTGTTTAACGTGTCATAACACAAATTGAGTAACTCCTCCAGATGGGTAATTGTAAATGTATGATAAGAACAATAAAAATACATGTACTTTTGTGTAACATACTATGTCTCAAGAAATAGTCATAAATTTTTCACGCGATCTAAGCTCATACTCCACATGAAAGATTGCCCACAATCTAAGTGGTACCACTTATCGGCATCGCCCATACATCTTATAAGAAAGTGGTATAAGATGTATAAATTCTAACAAATTTAGGTATTAATTAGTAATTAGCAAACATATCGTGTTTTCGTAATTCTCAATAAATTAATTAAAAATAAATAAATCCAATTGAGTTTCCTTTTTACTATAAAAAATTCCATTTTGTAAAAATAAAAACATATTTTTGTCTTTATCGAGCTTCATGAACAAACAAATAAAATCAACTTGGACTTTTCTTTTGTCTTTACCTTAATTGTTTTTATTTTGAAAGCCAGACTGTTTAGGGCACACTGCTCAAAGTGAATAGAAGTCTCCATGTCTGACTTTTAAGCCTATGAACCCTATAAATGATGCAATCCCAATACTGATACATGAGTTATAAGAAAATATTTCATTGGAATAATTCAAGGGTTCTATAATTCCAATTTATATATTTATAATTTTCTTAATTTATTTAAGTTTATTGTCATTAGCAAAATAGCTATATATATAAAAAAAAATTTAATAATGTTACTGGTTACAAAAAGAAATTTTTTTTGCAATGTAGAGTCAAGTATTTGTCGTTCTGGTAATAAATAATATTATTACCATATACAAAATTATGTAGAAAACAAATATTTTAATAGATGCGACGCTTCCTTTTTATTCAATTCGAAAACAACTTTTTTATCAAAGATTTTCGTTAGGTTTAAAAGTGACTTCTTGACTATTTTTCTTGACGACGGATAAAGATATGTCGAGAAAAGTAATAAAAAAAAATACCTTAATCAAAGGTGTGTTGTATATCAAATCAGACATACATATCCAACACCCCTCACTCGTCCCCCAAAAACAAAAGTACTCGCATGTAAGATCTGATAATTAGTGAATTTCCAGACAAATTTAAGGCTAACAAATTTGTTCATCAAACATTATTCCATTTAGTCCCACGTGACTTCGACTTCTACTATGATAGATGTTAAATTATATTTGTTCACATTCATTGACTTTTAGTAAATAAACGTACAAAAAGTAACAATCAATAAAATCACTTGTTCATCAACACATGCCAACTTATTTGTCCTATATAGAGCAATGCAATACATGTTTGGTCGGATTATATTAATAAATAAATTTTCATATGTTTCGAATAATATTAACTTTTTTATTGAAAAGCTAAAAAGAACTTGGACTAATTCTTCCATTTTGACACCACTAATCATTTTTTTTTTTTTTTATGACGGGGAACCCGCAGTCGCTTCCTTTTGGGTTTGTACTAGGTAAACTTTCGGACTGACGCAATAGCCTACAAATCATACCAACCAGGTAAACCGCATTAAACAAGAGGCGTGTAAGCAAAATTATCCCTTATTAATCATCTAACCAACCTGCCATTTAACAACTCCTTGACCCTTGTGCTTAACATCTTATATTGTCAAAAGTTTCTGAAAATAATGGTGGCAATTCACCAATGTCAATGTTATTATTAATATTAAAAGCCAAAAATTAAATTATAGGACCCAAGATTCCATAAATGTACATGTGAATGCAAGAGAAATTTAAGTGTCCCCACCTTTAATTTGGAAACTGAAAATCTGTCAAACTTAATCTCAACTACTTCATTACCAGGATTAATCAGAGGGTTTGGTGTTTCAGCTTTTGACTATTGCCACGTTGTTCGGATCTTAGCAGTATCCATTGTCTAAGTTTTGGAGATCGAGAGACTTTTGCTTGGGGTTGAGGTGGACACAGATGTCGACATGAAGGGTATGGTTGACAAAGTTTCTACTTCCACGAGAATATTATTTAAATCAATTTTTTTAAAGTTCTTCTAGTCAAATAAAATACTTTTAGAAAATCATCCAAATGGATTCAAAAGTAACTTCTTTATTTCAGAAGTAGTTTTTGACTTTTCAAAAATATAAACGAGGTCCTAAGTCTTGGAGCTACATCATAAAAGGTGAACTTTATTAGGTTGAGCAGCGCTTACGTCTCCACATTGATTATCGTTTTTGTATGTAAATGATCCTTCACGTCTATAATCAAAATTAATGACAGCATATTCATGGTAACATGGCCGTCCATTCAGATTGGGGGAACTTTAAATAGACGACTCAACATATTTTGACACTTGTAATCATAAATTGTTTTGACCGAATGCGATGGTTCAACTACCAAAAGAGTGATTTGTTGAGATATTAAAGCTAGATTGATAGAATAACAAACAACTATCATGATTGAGGGAGATTAATATCAAGGTGGTGTTATGATCACGTGGAGTGGATTTCTTGTAGTCAATAGAGTACGCGTTGGATGGCTAATTTATTAACTTAAACCAAGTCCAATTCATTTTCAAATAGATTATTTATTTCTAAATATACTACGCGTCACTTTTTTCCCCCAAAGATAATCTTAATCAATATTACGGCTGGGCAAATTTTTTGAACCGAACTGACAGACCAAATCGAACCCGACGGTTCTTGTCAAATTAAATACCCAAACGGCTATCTGTATTGAAAATCGACGGATACGATTCGGTTCTCGATTCTAGACCAAGAACCGAAGAACCGAATCTTTCTAATTTATTTTTTATATTGAATAAATCAAATTATTTTAATTTTACTTTTTTCTAAACAAATTAACAATTTTTAAATCCAAATTTTTGGCCCAATAATTTGTTTCATTTCTAATTTTTTAATTTTTGGCCCAATTACTCCTTTTATTGTCTCATTTCTTAGCCTAACAAGATCCAACCCACTAAATAACCCTAAACACCTACACTAAAGTGCATAACGCTATCTCGACTCTCGCAACCTTGCTGACATTCCAAAACTTGTACAATCATCGACCGACGCTGTGACCTCCGATCGAAGCTGTGACCTCCTGTAACTGAAATTTTGACCGTAACGATCATTTGAATAATGTAGTCTACGAGTTTATGACATTTCAAAATCATTGAATGTGTCATTAATTGTATTTATATAATATTTTTATAAATGTTAAAAAATTTAATTATAGTACAGAACCAAATCGAACCGAACTGAACGGAACCGAACCCGAACGGTTCCATAATTATATTTGGACCCGACGATTCCATTTACTAAATACCCGAAAATTTTGGTTCGGTTCGGTTCTCTTTAGAACCGAACCGACCCGTGCCCACCCCTAATCAACATATTTACTCACACGACATTGGACAATTATAATCATTACAAGGATGACTCGACACAGGACTCGTTATAAAGTAAGTGACTGCTCTACTAGACAATACGAGAATATGTAAAAACAATAAAAATTAAGATCTTGTCGATTTTATTGCCCAATTCTTCTCTCCAAATTATCCTAGCGGTGTTGAAAGGTAACATCTAATGGTATATCTTCTCATCAACTTTCTTCGTCTTTGTTGAATTTCATATCAATTGATCTCTTCTTTTATTTTCTCTCATGCAATTTTCTACATACAGAGAGTGATCTAAAGAGAGAGAAATCATGCTTTCAAGTGCATAAACTAGTGAGATTTTAGAGAAATCCTATCAGCTTCCACATATTTACACAAAAAATTTCCCCAAAGATGCTATCAGCATCTTCTGAACAAAAACAACGACAATAATATACCATTTTTACAAAAATCAAATTTAAGAAGTTACCGTGCAGAAGTAGATTATATGTGCACCTGAATCACATTAATCTTCAACAGGTGCTTCCAGTTTCCATAGATTGGCTAAAAGTGCATAACCCCCTTCTCCCTTCATTCTGAGAAGTGGAACGCCTAAAGCTGGATCTTGAACATCTAACCAGTTGATTCCTCAAGTTACGGTTGATCGATCTTGGAACCAAACAAGTAGTGTCCGAAGCTCCCATACAAAGGCTTGGGCGGAGTTTCACAGATGGAAAACTTTGGCAGCTAAGTGAGCGGAAAGAAGAACCGAGTGGGGAGGTCCGAGCACACAAGAAATCCGGCTTGCATAATGGGGTTTCCAGTAAGGTGGGTTCAGGAACCTCAGTCGACCAAGTGCAAAAATTCAAGGACAAACTTGTTCTTGAAATATCCTTGCATATTGACCTCGTGTCCGGAAGCTTAACGAAAGAAATTATGCCATGCCGGCAGAGTGGACAGGCAATCGAGCCCGGGGGACCGTGAGATATGGTAGTGAAGCTATTTGTGGAACATAGATACAAAGCACAATGTGCGCAGAACTCATGAAGACAGCCTGAAAAAAAGGAGCATCTTATGTTGCTAGACATAGATAATGGTTCATTTGTGCATGAAGTCATTGCAGTGGAGTAAATGCTTATGTAGCAAGTTTTCTATATCATAGTTATAAGTTCAGCATTTTTGCCATCATGACAACCTTATGTATGGCTCAAAATCCCACGTTAATGAGAACGTACTAGGAAGAATGAAAAAAGGAGGATATTTCAGAGAGAAAAATATAAAGGAATATGAAAAGAAATAAATGATAACTGCCAGAATAGTATGAAATTTATAAATATCAACATAGAATAGCAATTGGCATTTTGACAACAACTAAATTAAAAACCCATCGCCGCGCATCGAGAGATACCAAGCAGACTATTAAAGAAATTAAATGTCACCCGTTCATATTCTACATAGTAGTAGTGATATCCATATCGCCATCTACTTTGTGCTTAAGTACGTTTTTCAACAAAATTTCCACTACATGACTAGAAAGGAAAACAGAGAATGAGAACGATCTGCGAGTTTGAAGTAATATACCTTCTGCAGCAACTGTGCATTTCCTTTCCAAGCAAACAACACAAGGATCTATGCATGTGGACAGCGCATCGTTGCCTCTCCATCCACATTCTCTGCAAATGCAACAAAAGAGAATAATAGTTAAAATCTCTGTTATTGCACGTTCAACCATCAAAAAAGTTTAAGCTATTAGAGACGGCTACACGTATTCATTTAAATTTTGTATTTAATACACCTTCTCATGAGCAGAGTGGATTCATTTTACCAAAGGTGTGACGTGCACAATTTTCATAATTAGGTGCTGTCAAGTCTTGAACTCAGGCCTTCTGCCTGCTTTTATACTATCTTGAATCATTTCATCTAAATTTTTATTATAGATGACTACGAGTATTGATTTAAAACTCTTGTCTTCAATATTGTTCAGGATCTATTTTAGAAACAAAAATTGAGGGCAAAGGTCATATACGCTGTATCATCATCATAATGTTTTACTCCCATCGAGAGATTTTATTATTTTTGAAATATTACTAGAGCAGCGAGTAATTTTGGCTCACCTAGAGATATCAACAATGCTTTTAAGAGGAAGACATAGATATGGTGAAGAACTAAGTTGTGGTTGACTTTCTGGACGCCTGCTAAGAATTTCCTCGAGTGAATCTCTATGCCATGAACGGGCAACCATCAAGGGAGTCCAACTTTGAACATATAGAAACAAATAGTTAAGTAAGAGAACAAGCCATCGGTTAATAAAGAGTAACAAAATAATGGAATTTCAAAATACTAAAACCAATCATCATAGGGGCTGGCTGAATGGCTGAAAAACGGCAACATATAACCCCTGGAATTATATATAAAATGTCGGAAAACCTAAACGTACAACAATTCTAAAATAATTTTTCATCGATCCAAATTGACATTAAATTACTTGATATTTATCCAAAACATGGAAATAAGAACCGACTAGTAACTTTTACTTATTTTTAAGCTTAGACAAATATGTTTTATGCAAGACCACATGAAGAAATATGTAGAGCAGCCATTGAAACGTGAAAATAAGTCACTTGCATACCCATTAGCATTTTCTGCAGTCAGACTGGCACCCCTTGCTATCAAAAGCTGAAAATAGCGATAACAATTACATGTTTAGCTCATATCGACCCACAATGAAATTTTCATTTGACCTGAAATATGCTGACCTGACAACACTGTGAACTACCACCACAAGCAGCATAATGGAGGGGCGTGCTTCCAGGACCTGCAGAGTGGCAAGAAGTATATACTCTCAAATTTTATGTAATAGCATTGTTAAGTTGAGAAACAAGAAACTTTATTTCACTGCTTGAATTTTATTAATGAAAGAGGATGTGTTATTAAATGCTTTTATAATCAGTGATGAGTGAAATAAGAACATGTATCTGCTTTCGAGCTTCTCTTGCCCTAATCCAGAGCTAAAAGTATACATTCAAGAAATTCAATGCCCCGAATCTTTTTTCTTGACATATCTCATGCTTAAAGAGAGGATAAGTAGATCCATAGGGACTTTAAACTTGTGCTCAATCAAGCCTTCTATAAAATCAAACTCACACTATAAGCTTTGCAGGTTGATCATTACTGTAGATTGAAGTTTCTTTTAAACGTGAAATCTATGGTCACAGACACAGCAAAAGAGTTTCCAACTTAGAATCCTTTCTTCCTGCATTCTTACATAATTTTTTTCCCCCCCCCCCCCCTCCCCTTCCCCCCAATGACTTGATAAGGTGATGTACATCCAGAAACTTCATTGTGCAAAAAAGGAACATTACTAATCTACATGGAGACGAGAAATTATCATTCTAGATGTGGTATATTGTATTTAAACACTTAATCGTGCATGCTAAAACCAAAATCCATCAACTATGTGTGGATTCAAAAAGAATAAAAAGTTTAACTTACCAATTAAATCAATTGTAGTTCCATCTTCCACCGTGGCCTCAGATATGGGAGCCCCTAAATCCAAGAGGAGTTGAACAGTTTCAATGTGACCATTAAGTGCAGCCATATGAAGGGCAGTGACGCCACCATCAGCAGGTCTGTTGATGACCTCGTAGAGTGCACTGAAAAGGGCAAAAGGAAAATTAAAGCTTCTAAGCTTGCTGCAAACAGAAAAGTTACATAGTTCAAAAGAAATTTTTAATATCAGTACCTATCATCAATTTCTGAAACGGATTCATCATTTTTTGATATTTTCCTTAAGATGCTGCAAAAATTAGGAATGCTAGGAATATAATCAGAAAGGAGAAGCCGGATACATCGGGAATGGCCATTTAGAGCAGCTAAGTGAAGTGCTGTTCCTCCATTAAGATAATCAGCTCTGTGGATCTATAATAAAACGCAATAATAAGTTGGACTTTACCCCAGAAAAAACATTCAGTTTAGTTCCTGTATGAAATGTAGCAAAATATACCACCGAACGAACTGTCATACATTGGCTTTGAAAAGAATCAGAGTTTGAACAACCTCCCAGTGACCGTATTGACAAGCTTGCATCAGAGCAGTCTGTTCGGGTAATTAATCATCACTAAGTTAAAATCAAACCTACAAAGAAATGACATTTGTAAAGAAACTTTTACTAAGACGTGAAAAGAGACAAAATTTTACCTGCCCACGATAGTTCTTGAGATTAATATCAACTCCTGATTCAACTAAGAGGGAAACGATCTAAATACAAGGAACAAATAATATAATCACCATTGGCACCTAGAATTCCAACACTTTTGATATATACTAAACAGATACAAAAAACTAGTACTAAATAACAATATACCTCGTGGTGACCTTGCGCAGCTGAGTAATGCAGGGGAGAATTACGAACACCAAATGTTGAATACCTCACGAGGCGAGGATTATACTCCAATAAAGCCTTGGCTTCTTGAAGATCCCCATCTCTTGCTGCAGAAATCAGACGCTCCCCAGATGCAGAACACCCAAAAGAATTACCCACAAGACTTAACAATCTCATACTCACCATATATTTACAATTCCTCTAATACGAGATTGAGGATGAGGACCTTTTCTGCAGCAAAAACTAAAGGAATCCTATAAAGTCGCCTTTCTGCATCTGTTATGTTTTTGGTTCCTTGATCCTAGTACAATCTGAGGAATCTCACCAATTTATCAACTTCTCCGTGCACACAATTTCCTTGTTTCTTACCAAATCTCTAACAAACTCGGAACCAATTTTTACCCTTTAATACATCCAAAAACAATTTGGTGTAACTGTCGGAATCTCACTGAACTCTGATTGAAACTCCAATCTTTAAAACTCTCCAAAGGGCAAGAGGAGGATAATTTCAACACCCGAATCCCATTTGCAATCCTAATTTGATCTTTCAAGAATAAATTATTCAATCTTGATTGATAATGACAGTTTTCTATACAAAGTAAATTGACCTTGTCTACCACGAAGAATCAACCAAAAACGGAACTGGAAATCAAGGAAAAAAAGGAACAATGTTTAACCAAAATCTTTGTAACCTAATTCCCTCAAAATCAAGATATTGCAGTGCCCACGTCAAAAAATTTCCCGAAAACTCTAGATAGTTTTAAAATCCCCCCTGAAACTTTGTCTGAATATAAAAAATATCCAGATTCCATATTTTACGGGAAAATTTCAGAACAAGAATGACAACCAATTCCAAGATTTACATGTTTCATAAATATCGTTCGAGAAAATATTTCTTTTGTTTTAAAATAACCGCAAGCTTTTAACAAGGAATAAAGTGGATTAAATGAATCTAAATATCGTCCCACTGCAATTAATTAGTTCAATTTTACTTATCGTCGCTTTAATCGAAACTAAATTACTAAATTGAATGTGAATCTAATTAAAACCCTAATTTTGGAAACAAAATCCTAATTATGCAATTTTTATGATTGAATTAAATTAAATATAAAAAACAATATTTTTAACACTTTATAATGAAATCAAATGTTGAGAACACACGTTTGTTGTAATCAATAAAAATTAAACATACTAGGATCAAGATTTTTCATGCAATTATCACTTTAAAACCCTAGTTTCACAATGTGACAACACACTTCAATTGTGACGAATTAATGTTTCTAAGTCTATCCAATACTCTCTTTCGAAATGTATCGAACCTATTTCTACATACTACAAGCCTATATTTCTATGACACGTGTATATGTAAAAATGCATGTGGTTTTATGAACACTTAAAGATTCACGTAGGGCATAACGGTATATTTCCCATATCGGACCCTACGATAATCTATATTATGTCGAACCTATTCCAATTCTCTCAAATGCAAGAATAAATCACTCAAACTTACACAATTACGGGCCCTTAATTGCGAAAACAATAATTGTATATAAATCATTTAAAACAATATAAATATGTCTTAATGTCGAATTGCAAAACTAGAAAATTAAAGATCAAATTACATGGTACATCGATCTCCTAACAAATGAAAATCTAGCCTAACATGATTAAAATAAAAGAATACATCAGATTTTGGATAAAAGGTATCACCGGGTTATGAAATATTGAGAAATCTTGAAGCTCTTTATGTAAATCTTTGTTTTTGCGCTCAAAATCCTCTCAAAGAGTTTTTTTCTACCTTCACTACGTTCTGCTTCTTTCTAGATGTCTTTTGGTATTTATATCGAGTGAAAATTAGGTTATCAAAAGAGTTTCAGTCGTATAAGGAAACTGCAGAATCGGCCCGAAATTGTTCTACGTGACCGCATAGTACATTTCTATGGGGTCGCATAGAGTAAAAAAATTGGGGAAAAAATTCTCGGAAGGCCCCTATGCGACCGCATAGAGGGTAGCTAGTGCTACCACTATGCAAAATGTCTATTTTTGTCCTCGAACTTTCATTTTTCTTCATTTTAGTTCCTTTGCAATTCCTTCTTCTTCCAATCATCTTGTATCGCTTTCGAGTTCGTACTTAGCATATTTGCATTCCCGGGTTGCCTTTCAGTTCAATTTTTGAACATTTGCATTCTTAGTCCCTGAACTATCACTTTACTTCATTTTAGTCATTTTTCAGCTCTTTTCTCCTGAATTCCACAATTTCCATAGAAACATCTACATTGTATGAATTCAACGAGATTAAGTCACAATTTAAACATTTTGCTCGTAATTAAGTCATATTTGTGATCTAAATAAGTGTGCAAAAACACACTTATCAAATATGAAGCCCAAATTTCAACTAACCTCTCCAAAAACAGGCTCCAATACCCAAAAGACACTTTTTTTTTTTTTTTTTTAAACGAACAGGGTTAATATATAGGAAAGAGCGATCCCACAAACATCTCTCTACTTATAAAATGTTTCTTGAAATGAAATTTAAGGCTTAAGATGAGTGTATATACGTATCTATATAATTGAGGGAGGGTTGTAAAAGTAGAGACGTGTTAAAGGGGAGGGACAGCGAGTTTTGCGGCAACCTCAGACCTAACAGAAAACAAAAGGCCTGCAAGAGAAAATGCGCACTTCATCATTGATTCTTGTTATTGTTCACATTATTGCCAATCAATTTTTGGTACAAGGCTTATTCTTTTCTTCCAAATCAGGTGAATTTTTTCTTCACTTTGATTTGTACTCTTGAATCTAGTCATAGATTAAACCCTCGTTTGAACTTCATTCTCATTTTCATTCTTTTTTTCTTTCTTATTTTCAACCACAAAATTTTTCATAAAATAATGTTACACGCAAATAAAAAAAATTTCATTTTTTTTCAACCGTACATTTTTCAAAAAATATTATTTCAACTATTAAAATTTGGCAAGAATGTGAGCCAAACGAAATATGGGTTTTCTCGGATTGCTTGGTCGTGAACATGTGATATCTAATTAGATAGTATAATCAAAACACATTAGTAGTTATTTCCTTTGAAATTGGATACTTAACCCTCCAATTGAGTTCATTTTTCAAAATAAATAAATAAATAATAATAAATAAATAAAAAGAGATTTTTCCAAAAGAAAAAAGCTAGCAAGTCATAAATATTGTTATATACAATAACAAATGAATCCTGAATATTCTTGTATATGTAAGTATTATGCCCTAAGTCCAATCAACTTTGGACATAAATACTTTTATATATAATTAATGCAATTAAATGACAGATCTATTATTTAATTAATAGACAATTAAATAAATAATAGAGTCCGTAGATTCAAATATTTGTAATTTTATAATCACAATGAGTTGTGATTGTGAGATACAAATTATATCTGATTGAATCTTAAATCATCCGTAGTCGTAAGTAATAACGAGATACGGATATCGTTATTACGGATAGACCATCACGTGTGGTATTTCTTACTTGTGAAGTAAGTAGCTGATCTCACAAGTTAAAGTGTGGTGACACTTAAATGAACACGTGGATGTTTTTGTTATAGAACAAAACATTGGAGACCCGTCGAGAGATTCCACATGGATAACTATCTGAGTGTCAGTGGTTAATCTCTAACGTTCGGTAGTGGAATTGATCCTTTGATTTGAGGTCGTCATAGTACCTTATATGATGGCAGTCATACTTTGGCAGTGTTGGATGTTGCTCTGAAAAGGGCCGCTAATACGATATCGTTTGGGTACGTCAAGAATCGTATGAAGGTTGTGATTGATCAATAAAGGATTCACCACTCTTAGATAGTAGGGGATTATGATCTGCGTTTCATTCAATTAAGTCGATGATGAAATCCTTGGCCAAGGTGTACTCATAAGTCGAAAAGGAGTTTTCGATTTATATTGACTTAATAGTGGAGTGAAAGATATGATCGATGATCGAGATTGATATAACTCCATATCTCGTAATTGATCGGATCATAATGACGAAGGGATTATAGTTTCACGGTAAACGAACGAATTTGATTTTATCATACCACGTCACATTTCCCGTCACATGTATTGCCCTGACACATTGCTAGATGTCAATCAGGGATGGCGAATGTGAATTGACGATAAATTAAAAGGGTGTTTTAATTTATCAATTTTGATTAGATCAAAATAATATTTCACGTCGTTAGGTATCGTGGTCGGGAACCTAATGGGTCACACACAAAAGAGAATTGGAAGATTGCAAATTGTCAATTGGTTAATTTAACAATCGTTGGATAAATTAATTAATTGGATTTGTTATTTATGTTTTCGAATTAATTAATTGGATTAATTAATTCACGGACGGGGTTTAATTAATTGGATTAATTAATTATTGGACCGAACCGGGTCGAGCCTGTTTGGGTTTATATAAATACATAACTAGGGTTTGAGGTCCATAAGGTTTTCATTATTCTTGCTGGCACAAGAAAAAACCCTAGAGGCTGCAATCATATTCTCTGTGTGGATCACCGTTGGAGGCTGGACAATTGGACAGCTGTGGTGGCGAATCAAGGTGATGGAACTGAAAGAAAAGCAAAAAAGTTTGCAGATCTGGAAAGGTACAATCTTATCACAATTTCTATTTAAATATAAAGGTGATTCTTGATGGGAATCGAAAATTATTTTAAATTTCGCTGAGCATATACAATGTGACAATGAGAAAGAACTCAAAAGTTATATGTAATGGAAGTAATTTATAAATTATTTCTGCTGTCGTTGTAAAGAAAAATTGCAGCTTTGGTCCCAAGTTATGGGTTTTGTATTAAGTTTGTTTAGGCCAGCTTTAACTTGAGGCACATGAGTCTTACGCATTTCATAGTTGGTTATCAAGAAGTCTAAATGGATAGTTTTTACTTGATCTTAACATGTTCAACTTTTTTAAATATAAATTTGTAAAACACAGCTCAAAATAAAAAAAAATAATAAATGATTATCTTTATACCGATCTGTAGGTGTTAAATGGACCAATTCACTCGGCTATTCCACTGTCGGGCTCAAATCAGCCACCAAGCGAGTTGACTCACTTCACCAAATGTGGGCTCACTCATCCCATCAATTTGCTCTCACTTCTCGTCAATTATTATTATTATTTTAATAAAAAATACATTTCATTTATGAATTATGAATTAGCCCACAAGAAAGCAACGAGCTCGCGAGCCAACAAGAACTTACACGAGTATTTGTTGTTCGGCTCATGCCCGCTACTCGTCTTGGATATAAATCAAGTCAGCTCGACACATTAGTGTAACAAGATGAGCCAATAAGTAGCTCGCCACACTTTATACCCTAAACATATCCCACCCATTCTCCAGCCACCTACGACCATCACCCTACCACAAGTTTTCACCCTCACTAGCTCTTGTTGCTCTATGACCTATCATCCTTGCTAAAATCTTGTATGTAGCGGTCTTTCTCAAACTTAATTTACAAACCCTTCACAATGAATCTTTGTTGGTTTTGCAGACTCCCATCTCAACCCAAACTTGGGTCATATCTACTCCCTTCTCCAAACCAAATTCGTGGCAAACCTTTTTGGCAACATATTTTGCAATGCATCAATTTCTTGACCTCCCTAACGAGCCCTTGTTGGTTTTAAATCAACTATCTCCATGCAAGCATGGTTTGTAAAAGTCCCTTCTCCATTTTAAATTCATTATTGCCACTAATGGTGGACATCCCGAAACCTCTTTTAAGGCAGGTTTTCCCTTTCGGATGATATTTAATTTATGAATCCACCACTATTAGCCCACTAAATTACATTTTTATGTTGATCCACTACTACTAGTCAACGGAACTACATTTTACGTTGGGTGTCGAAAGAAATTAGGGATGGCAACAGGGTCCCGTTGGGTGTTGAAAGAAATTAGGGATGTTCAAAGAAATCTTAATGAAAGTATGTGAAGTTTTCCACTTAAAGTATTGAATTTTGAAAATAATAATAATTAAATTGGGTGGGGTGTGTGTTACCTGTACCTGCCTTGGGGGCGAAAATTTTCGACTCAAACTCGACCCGAATATCCAATTAAATGGGTAATTCTCGTTCCGTTTGACGAGTTTTTTTGCTATTCTTAAAAGAAATGGTAAATCTCCTCACGGCTGCAACCAAAAATACCCCTCAGTGTGGTACTGATGTGCGAGAAATGCAAGGATATAACGGCAAAATGGAAAGATTTAATCAAACTCGTATGTGCTTTTTAAAGTTCAAGGATGCGTTTGCGAAGAAAATAAGAACAGGAACCTAAACGTTATATTATGCCAAGTTTGGACCCTTCAAATGTAAATTCACAGCTCATTTTAAGCTTAGCCAAACGCGCAAGACCACGCAATTGAGGAGAGAGAGATGTCCGTCCTCACATCATCTCCTTCTCCGCCACTACAAGCTTGCCTTAAAATCTTCGAACACCACCATCCCGCCGCCGCGAACTTCCCTATCTCTATCGCCCGCCATCCTCCTCTTCGTTCACTGTCTCGTTGTTCGCAACTCTCCAACCACCAAATCGAAGCAATACCCATAACAAGAGTTGATAAGTCGTCTTTGAGTGTAGCGGAAGGTAGATACGAGGCTGAGCTATGGGCCGCAGCTTGCCTCCGCGTTCGCACTTTCTACGATTTCAATCAACAGACTTTTGGCATCGAAGTGAGTTTTCTCCACAATTCTCTTCTCGTTCATGCTTCTTCTAGTAAGTCAACAGGGACAATTTTAATGAATTACTGCTCTTTTGTTACAATAAATATAAGATTCGTCCAATTATGCTAGTTAAGCTGTTGGAGAAGTTGGGTTTTGATTAGATTCCCTTCTTAGCTCGAAGTTTGAGAATTATTCTTGTCAAGATATTTGGGAAGTGGGATTTATTTGAAATTTCTATACTTTACTGAATATCTTGTCCTTAAATTTCTCATAAAGCGAATTCAGTTCATTTATTTGGTAATAAGTGATATATGATTTTGGTGAAGTTGATACAGAATTGATTTAGTTAGATAAAATTAATAGGTGTTTCTCGTGTATTAGTAGTTATTTTGATTTATGGTAGTTCAGTAATGGTTGAATATTTTCCTATCGCAAATGTGATATATGGATTAATACACAGAGTGTTAGATTGAGTTTTTGTGAATCTGCTTTTATGAGATGCATTGTCAATTTTGAAAATTCTGAATTAGATTTTCTTGATCATACGATTAAATCAGGTCAGTGAAACTGTAATATAATGCTGATATTATTATTTACTTGTCAAGTTCTATTAGGATCATAAAAGGTACTTGACTGAGCATGAGTTTGAAGCACTCAAAGAACGTGTTGCCGGACTAAGGAAGGGCTTTAGAAGAGTTTCCTGCATCAATGCTACACTACCATTGTCAACAGTATCAAGCGTCTCACATGACCTGTGCACTTCTTGTAAAGTGAGCATCTTTGATTTGTTCGATTGTAACCTCAGAACCGTTAATCTGTAAATGGACTTTGTGTGTTCTTTATTTAGCTGTCAAATAGATGGTATTTGGTGTTACTGAGACTGATTTAGCTTTCAGTTCTGCTGAACCAAATTGTTACCAGATTAAAATAAATTATGGTGATTTCAGCCGGGAGAATGTGTTTGTCAACTGTAACACGTGAGCTAAACTTATATGAGTGAATTTCTTTGTTACTTCTCAGACTTTTAGCTTAAGCTTTGTTCTCGTAGATTCATCTATACTTTGATAATGCACAGCTGTTCATGACAGAACAATGAACTGGAATTGGATGTAAATGTCAGTGGGCAAAAAAGTCATGAATGCGCTCTCATGTTAGCTTTGAAAATCTTTCTTTGCTTCTACGTTGTAATTTCAGATTTATCTTTCTTCCCCCCTCATTTGGAATATGTAGACTGCAAGCAGAGAAGTAGTTTCTAAGTAATAGGAAATTTCACCACATAAACATGTGTAATTTTGATCCATACAATTAGCAAAACAACTACCAAATGTTTGAAATTTTGTGAATTGTATATGAATGGAAGCATATCTGATATAGATTTGTGCATCACTAGGTCCAGCAAGATGTACTTTCTGTTTTACATACATTCATAAAAAATTAGTATCAGCATGCCGCAATATTTTGTCAAACTTCCATTTCTTTATATATTTTGCATAAAAATAAAGAAAATATTGATAGTGCTTTCTTGTGGTCTTTGTTTGAAGATTATAAGAATCCATGTCTGTATATAAGAGCATGTTTGGGAAGTGTTATAAACAGTTTAAATTACAAACAGCTAGAAATGAATGGTACATAAGTGTGTATTACTTGCGTGTCCCTTGAAATGTGTGGATAAAAAGTGGCATAAGTATTATGAACAGTTTAAAAACATGAGCGAATAGGCTTTTCTTGATTCTCCTAAAGGATAATCTAATACGTGTTTTTATGTATTTTGTTTTTCGACATGAATTTTGGTTGATATTACCTTGTACTTACTGTGGTCTACTTCTGTCAGTTTATCGTCATTGATGTGAACCTGTAGGAAATAGCATTTATAATGGTAACATATTGTATGTGGTTTAATCCTGATCTGGATAGGAACATCTCATGTCTTTCATAGAATGTAGCATATCATAATTACGACGAGAAAACTGAAGTTAGCAAGTATAATTTATAGATTCTAATTTTCTGCCGTAATGGTCACCTTTTTGCAGGTCCAGTTGCCCCATTCCATTGAAAATAAAATTACTTAACACAATGTTTAAATATATATAGACTGTTGTGTAGACCACTGCCTTTTTGTCCAATCTAATATCTCTTTGTTTTAATGGTCGATAAGACTATAAGGTTGAACGTTAGAATGTGGGGTGAGTGCATAGGCACAAACGTCATTAACTATACGTCTTTCTAACACGGGAATACACACAAACAAAATTACACCTATATGACTAGGTATGGTTAATTTATTAAATGGTGACCAAATTAACTTACTTTACTTTTTCCTTTGCAGTTTTCACATAAAGGAGAAGATCGAGTTGTTGTAGGGACATTAGATCTGAATCAATGCATCAGCCTTCCAGATGAAATAGCAGGAATGAAACCAAAGGTATTTATTAGTGCCCATACATTAAAAAAAAAAAAAAAATAGACAAAGCCTTTTTCCTCGTACAGTGGTTCACCAAATGCAGGATAGTGATCTCAGAATATCGTGGTACCATTGAGGAACAAGGACTTACTGCAGGAACTTATTTATGTCTCAGACTATTATTTTGTTTGACTATTTATGAATTTTTCTGGTTCCTGGTTAATTGTTGTTCAGAGGTAACGGAAGGACTAGTTTGTTTTCAAGAACCAAGATTAAAAGATGGGAAGTCAATTTTCAAAAACATTATATTGCAATTTCTTTTTCTCTACCTTCAAATCATCCACTCTCTCCAAGTGCTACATCGAAGTTCTTGCTTATGCTGACAAGTCATGTTTTAAAACTTCATGTCTTCTACGCAGTACTGGCAGGACTAGACAATATGTGTACAAGATTTTAACTTTATTGGTTTCTTTAAGATTATCGAGTAATATCCTGCTCCATATGGTCCTAAAGTTTCATGTGATACATAAAAATCCTCAACATGCTCCTAACGACTTCTATAATTCCACTTTGACAGGGAATTGGGGCTGATTTTGCACGGGCATACATTAGCAATGTATGTGTGGCCAAGGAATTGCAGAGAAATGGTTTAGGCTATGAGCTCATTGCAAAGTCAAAAATGGTGGCTGAAGATTGGGGTAAAAATCACAGTTGCTTGAGATACACTGAAATTTTGATTGCTAGGGATTAATGCTTAACATTTATACAATTTTCTTCTTCTCTTTGATTATTTTCTCACGTTTCCTTTTGAGCAACTCCCATGACTGAATTTCCATAATTCATCAGGAATTAGTGATTTATATGTTCATGTGGCTGTGGATAATGAGCCAGCGAAGAATTTGTACATGAAAAGTGGTTTCACTTTCGAGAGTGATGAACCTGCGTGGCAAGCCCGGTTCTTGGACCGCCCACGAAGGCTTCTTTTATGGACAGGTCTTCCTATTACCTATGAACTGTAATGCTACAACCCTCGGAAACAAAGCTTAATTTCTTGTTTTTTTTTCTTCTACCGTACGTTTGCATTAAATTCGTGTACTTAACTGTAATGATTAACCAGTAAATCCTCACAGTCGTGTTTAACATCTTCATTGAAAATTGAGCAATGAGAGATCAGATGTTCAACGATAAGCTCCAAGGAATGAATGGCCACTCTCTTTTGCCATAAGAAAAAATTGAGCATTGCCCTTTTATTTTGGTTTCCCGAAATTATTTCCGATAAATCCCCGGTGAAATTACTGGTGGATAGAAAATTTTTGGTGCACAGAACTGAATACTATTTAACAATATCAAGGACAAAATTTTAGTTTTTTCGTTTTCTTTTTTAAGATCGTCCTGTAACCGGCCAATCCAATTCACTCTATCAAGCAAACAAACTATTAAGACATCTATCAGCACTATGAAAATGCATATGCATTAAAACAAGAGTGTAAAGATGCCCGAACAAGAAGACAGATAAATTGAAATGAACAATGAGCCAATTTATAACAACAGATCCCAAATATATAAATATGAACCTGTTTGTGCAAAGCAAAAGCAATAAACCGTGCACCAAAAACAATAGTAACTGGCAACGTAACATCCAGAATGCAATAAAAACAGTAGAAGGCAGGCTATACTGACGTGTATCTACTAAAAATTAGAGTCGATAGACATTAAGGGAACCGTTTCCACGAGTTATCTTCCCGGTTGTTTCTGAATGCACAGCATCCAACAGAGTAAACGATAATGAGGAAGACGAGGAAAATGATGTTGATAACAGCCACCCTCTTCCAGTCCCTCTTAATGTTGTCCAGCAGCCCAGCCTTGCACGACTGGCAGTGATAGCACAAGATGTTCGGATCATTGCTCCAGGCAGTGCAGTCGGGATTAGTCAAGGATGAGGTTGGTGTCCGAGTCCAGTTGGTTGGGCTAATGTACTGGAAATTGCAGTCATTCGATGGCTTACAGCAACCAGACTGAAAAAACAGTACACGAATTAAGTCCATATCACGTCCGCCTTAGAATAAGAGAAGAATCTATACTAAGAAGATGAATGATGTAGCAAAGCTCCAATTGTTCCAAGAACAAATTTCTAGCAAGATCAAAGACTTCATGACGATAACATTAGAAATGCATTCCCGACAATTCCATTTTGCCTTTGAAGGCCACCGTGAAATATGCCCTTTCTTCAGAGTATTTGGTAATAGGCTAACATATTCAAGAATGAGATACGAAACTATAGGTAAATTTAGATCAAAATGATATGAAAATTGGTCTATAATTTGAAATTTGGAGTCAACTAGTCGACAGCATGCCAATCAAGAAAATGCTTATAGTACGCGAAGCAAATAAATATTTTTTCAGCGCTTGTAACATAAAATCTCTGCTGTGAAAAATGGTTTCGAGCTTCTAAAGAGTTCATTTCACACAGCCCTAAACGCTCAACACTACAACAGATGAAGAAAAGCATGTATATAGACTCTATACCTTGGAAATCGACAAAGATTGTAAGTGTTCTCAAAATACTATACGAAAAAGCGCATTTGTGGGTTCAATGCGAAAATTGTTATGGATTAAATTAGAACAAAGACGCGCCGCCACGCGGGCGGGCAGAGTATCCTAGGTCGGAACAATTTGATAGGATCCCCCTTTTTGCGTCCCCATGTCAAGAAATACATATATTTGTCCAAAAACTCAAAACCTTCTAGTTCAAGTGAATATAAGAGAGACAATATACTGCACTTTTATAAAAAAAGCACCTTTTTCCAGACAAAATCAATAGTTAAACTAGGTCAAAGTCCCTCAACTTTGTAAGAGTAAGAGCACTGGGAAGTGGGAACAAACTATGCCATTTGGCCCCTTTGCAAATTTTAATGGTTGGAATATTGCTTTTTTAAAAAATGCGTTGTTGAAAAAAAATGAATAATTTTTATTTGCATATAATATTATTTTATACAAAATTGTATGGTAAAAAACAAGAATGAGAAAAAGGATGAGAAAGAGAATAGGGCCAAACGGGCGAAAGAAAATTTTCCATTACAAAAAGTTAACTTTTGCACTTTTCTAAATTTCATGGACCCAACTAACAATTTTCCAGTTGTTTTTCGAAACAACTAAAAATCAGATCATAGCCACCATTATATCACATTAAGTCAAGAGAGAACAAATTCAAGAAATTTCAGACATGAAAATGTAAACATGGACAAATCTGACCCATCCAGATCTAAAGCAGTTCTGTTCCATCATTCAACGAAAATATACCTGAAGGGAAGAGAGGTGTTGTTTGTAAAAATCTTCAACTCTGGTGGATGAACCATCATCAAGAAGCCTCTGGCAAATCTTACTATCCTGCAAACAACTCCTAATCTTATTCCAATTCTTGTCATTATTAACCCTTTTCTGCAGCCAATCTGAATAATCCCCCAATCTGTACTCTTTATACCCTCTACCAGAAAGGGCCTCACCAGCCCCCTTATTTGTCACCACAAATGCGAAGATTGTGAAGCAAAACAATAGAAGAATCAGCAAGAACATTACCACTAAATATACCCATAATAGGCATGAAACCCTACAGAAAGAGCCCACTGAACCAGCAATTGAAACGAGCAGAATAAAGACTCCTAAGGCTATTACTGGCTTGTCTAAGAATCTCTCGCACTCTGTGTTGGCATGTTTTGAGAGCCATATGCCCCCTCCTATGATAGGAATTGACAGCAAAAGTGTGACTAGATTGAGAATGCCAACCAAATTGTTACTCACTCGGACCATTATTAGTGGATTCTTGATTCAAGAATGAAAAATTTTCCTAATAGCAAAGCTAAAATATCAAGAATTTATGGAAGAAATTCAAGAAAGTAGACGTCGATTTCGATGTTAGGATGAGAGTGGGTTTTGGATGTTTATACTTTATACACGTTGGGAGCAGTGTGATTCGATATCTTGGAACGCGTAAGCAAATGCAACGGTGTAAAAAAAACCTAAAGAGAAAATGAACATGAATTTACGTAACAGACATGAATTTATTATTTTTCTCTATTATAAAAAATTATTTCTACTCTCAATGCCCCCAACATGCGTGTGTGAAAATGGAATCTATCCCTCGCAGGCCCAGCTCCCACGGCGGTGTCAGCTGCTTATTTTCTTTCTTTTTCTCTTACTTATACATACTTATTATAATTTGCTTGTTCTTAACTAATTAAAAGGTGGTAAGCTTTTGTTTGACAAATGAATATATTGTAAAAGTATCGTTTACTGATTTTTCTACCAGTTTTGATCGGTTTGTGCGGTAATAATTATGAGAATTGATTTTTAGATCGTTAGAGAGAAAAATAGGTCCTACCTGTGAGTGGAAAAATAAAAAAATAATTATTGGATTAATGAAATAACAATCAAAAAATTAATTTTTGCAGGTGAAAACTTGCTATCAAACGGGGGCCTGATTATCTTTAATCAGTTTTGCTACACTTACATCATGATTGATAATTTTGTTTACATTACATAATGTGACACAAAATTGTGTCATTAATTTTAACAACACTTAAAATAATCAATGATCTCAATTTTTACACTTCTTGATGCATGATGTCATTCATGATGTACGACGACTTTAATAATAATGTACGAATATGTAGATTACATTTTTTATTAACTCTTTTTCTTATTTTATTTTTTTATGATTGCATTGCGCTTGTTGTTGCTTGTAAGATTATTCGGTAATATATTTAACACATTCAATTTGATCGTAATTTAATTTAATGGCTGCTCTTCTTTAATACTATTAGGTATCACATTTTGTTAATAATGATTAGGGGTGGGCGCGGGACGATCTTTTGTAGCCTTAAATAAATAAAATAAATGCATATTTTAGATCGACCTATAAATTTGTTGCATGTGACATTTTTTTGGTCCTAGGACTGGTACTGGGACATCCTGGTCATTTGGGGGGAACATATGTTCTGTTTCGCACATGGGATTACTTGTCTGAAATTTATTACGAGAATGAAACTTCCTAGATTTAAATAACGATTCTCACTTGTGTTTTCTTTTCTTATCATTGATTAAATTGCACATGTTTTTAGGGGTAAAAATATTAGTAATTTAGGGGGTGTTCTCTTTGTGTTTCAGTTTTGTGTTTTGAGTTTTGAATTCATTTTGAGTTTTGTGTTTTGAGTGTTTGTTTTGAAATTATTGAAAATGCGTTCTTTTTTTTAGTTTCTCAAAACAAAAAAAATGATTTTTTTTTTTAATTTTGGTTCTTATTCGGTTCTTGGTCTAGAACCGAGAACCGAACCGTACCCGTCGGTTCTCAATTCAGATACCCGTTCGGGTATTTAATTTGACAAGAACCGTCGGGTTCGGATCGGTTCGGTTCGGTTCGGTCGGTTCGGTTCGGTTCGGTTCGGGAGATTTGCCCAGCCCTAATAAAGATATGGAATTCAAAAATAATGATCTTTTGTAGCCCTAAATAAATGAAATAAATGCATATTTTAGATCGACCTATAAATTTGTAGCATGTGACAATTTTTTTGGTCCTAGGACTGGTACTGGGACATCCTGGTCATTTGGGGAGAACATATGTTCTGTTTCGCACATGGGATTACTTGTCTGAAATTTATTACGAGAATGAAACTTCCTAGATTTAAATAACGATTCTCACTTGTGTTTTCTTTTCTTATCATTGATTAAATTGCACGTGTTTTTAGGGGAAAAAATATTATTAATTTAATAATTAAAGTACCTAAGTTTGCGAGCGAGGAGGAGCTTACGTATGAAGTATGAACGTTTTCTTAATTTTAATAATAATTATGTAAGTGATTTTGTTTTATTTGCTGCTCATACAATTTTGTTCAATATAATTTGCCAAACATGACTTACCCGTCAACTAAATGAAAGTCAACATGCCATTTTCTCCATTAAATTCTTCTCTTCCCCCCCCCCCCCCCGGGCGCCCCCCCCCCCCCACAATTTATTACTCTGTTCTCGACATCAATGGAGAAAGGGACATTTTTGTATAATTTTAGTTTAAATTTCTTGGCAAATCATAAAGGATCTTAACATATCTTCATTAAAAAGGACTACTCGATCTAAGTTTGTAACGAACAATGAGAGTATGCATCATATTCTTCCTATACGTCTTCGTTTATACACAAACTCGAGAATTTTCAGCTTTTAAGCCAAAAGAGACAGTTCTAAGTTGAGAAATGTAGATTAATGGGGAAAAAAAGAAGAGAGAACTGAAAAGACATTTCAAAAACGACAGACTCCTTCAAAGCTTTTCTTTTGCACCTTATTTACATGCAATGATGAAACATTAGAATTAACAATAAGATATTTGCTAAAAAGCCTTATTAATCTTCAAAGGAAAAACCAGATGACTAGCATCATAACAAAGGTAACTGCAAACCCAGGAACCCGAGGCCTTAATTCCTAACACCGTGTTAGATTAGAGAGGCCCGGGGAATGTTCCACTTTCCCTCTGCTCATTCCATTTCTCAACCTGCAAAACCAGCGAGGTTCAAGAAAAAGAAACTGTCAAGACGTAGAGAAACTACACATAAAACGTTTAGAAGATTACGACACATAACTGCAAAACAGTAAGAAATTTTGGCAACAAAAGATCAGAAGATCGTGAGGAAAACAATAGGGGAAGTCATTACTGCTGGTGTAAAGGTCGAGGTCCACCTATCAACCATTTGGACACCGGTTAGAATCATTTTTATGGTTTTGACAGCATATTTATTCCACTTTAAGGTGACATAGTCAACAAGTCAACAGAACTCTTGCAGGCTTGGAGCTTCTAAATTTAGGAAAATGGCATACCACAAAGGCATTTAGCCTCGAGACTACTATCTATATCTATATCTATATATACACACACACACACACACACATAAGAAGTTAAAAAATCACCACCAATTCAGAACTGGGCCGAGGATAACAGGTAAAAAGCAATAACATAACGTAGCCCTTGCTACTAACATAATCCTGATACATATGTTATTTGAAACATCTTTCTTCTATTTCAAATTGACTATATTCCTGTATAATTAGAGTTGTTTGAATCCACTTTCCCAAATTAAACATTTCTATAATTTTGATTGCTGTAAATAAATGTTACATCTCATTAGTAGTTTCTCATTTCACCACCAAACAATAGGTGTTGGAGAGCATAGACATCCACCCCCATCTTCCACTTTTTATTCATATTTACTCATTCAAATTTTGGATCAGTCAATATAATCACAAGCACAGTTTTGACAATCCATATACATCTTCTCTTGGACAATAATTTTATTAAACTACAGACATACCTAATGCCATCAAATATATTAACCCTCAAGAACTGATATCAGACCACTTTATGCAGAAATCTCACATGAAAACAAAAGCACACAGTCTCATTCCAGGACAATTCTTCCCCACCACCCACATCCAAAAAAACAGAAACCACTAAGAACGGTGACAAGAACCTTTACATGAGAAACAACCATGAAGTCAATGTTTGAAGTGGACCTATGAGAATATCAACTTACCCATTCACCTGGGCAAAGGGAACGATAGTACTTGGCAAATTTTCCACAATCGCCAGATTCTTCACCCTTAGCAGCTACGCATCTGACAATAAATTAAACTAGTTAATGTGTTCAAGGTATAATTCTTTAAGAATCACAATTGCCTAGTGCAACAGAGATACACACACACACCAAGTTATAAAATAGTTCAGAGTCAGAATCCTGTAACTATTAGCAAGTCCATTCCTTCATTAAAACTATGCCAAAAGTCAAGTTATAGCCTATAGGATTTCCAATCAAGTCCTGAGAACCAATGTAAAGAGGAGCCACCATATAGCTCCAAACTCACATAAGCAGGGGTCAAATAACACAATGATCGGATTCCACTCTACCAACCGCCTTCTTTGTCCTCTCTTGACCTAACAAAGTGATCTATGTAGTCCCTCATGAGATGGCCGAGTTGGTAGAGTAACTGAACCCGAAAGCCTTTAGTCACGAGTTCGATTCCCCCTACCAAACACTTTCTCGATCGATCTTGTCGCACAGGGCTTGCCTAGTGTGATTTACCTGGTTGGCATAGTTTATAAGCTATTGCGTCAGTTCGAGGGTTTACCCATTACGCACTCGAAGGGTAATGGCTGCAGGTTCCTCCGTCATAAAAATAAAAAGTGATCTATGTAGCTAGAGGTCCTAATGATATAAGATAATCTCTTTTATAAACGTGGTAGATGGCTCTAAAAGACTCTCAGGAAACAATACAAGATACTTTCATATCTTTATATCTCTAATTCATGAGCAGGCAAAACTTGGGCAAATATATATATATATAGCATTTCACCACTCCAACGGAAATTCTCTCTGCCCCTACTGTACTCCAGCTTGGTATTTTGTTAAACGATGTTGCCAAAGTAGATCATGATCCAACTAAACCAATCTAGGTAAAACGCCATGTCACACTCTATCAAACGCAGATATGCAATCTCAACTCCGGTAAGCCAAGAAATACAAACAATGATGAACAAATATATTGTGCTCCAGTAGTATTTCAACAAATGTTAGCTTTTGCCCATTCTGCATCATGTTATATTGCATAAGAAATTAACAAATTAATCACTTATGTCAGATTTTAAAATGATCAACCCAACCAGAAATGAATATCAAACTGCAATAAAAAGTACTACATGTTACCTGTGAAACTCAATGTATCGGGTGAAACAGTGT